AGAAACAGACTAAATCCATTAAAAGCTAACATAAATATAAAATCAAATAAATCAGTGTATTCATGCAAGTTCGTTTGGAGTTGCACATACAAACCTGCTCCTGTTCTTCACTTTTAAATTCTACAAAATAAGGACTTGATCTTACCTCTGCAGAAGCCAGTCATGGAGCTGCTGTTAACTTTAGTTGGGAGCATGACTCCGCTGAATGCCCCCAGTGGGACTTCTCAGTAGGTAGAGTTCTTTCCTATGGGATTAATCACTTGCAGGATAAGAACTCTGGTCAGTGGCAGATGCAAACAGAAGGGCCAAATTGCAACATTGGCAGATTATTGTAAAGCAACCTTGACAACATGCTTGTTACTGTTTTAATGAAAAAGAATCAGTTGTCTTAATGCTACTCAGTAGTTGCGGTTAAATTAGGGTGCCTTTTAATGTAAGGTGTTTTATCTGGAAATCAGTGAGGATACTGTAGTTCTTCCCTTGCTCCACAACTTGTGGAGTGATGCCAAATGTTGGGGTTTTATTTTGTTTTTCCTCAGGAGTTCCTGGAATAATAAGGTCCCATTCTTGTTCTTTTTGTGCATATATCTTGAGAGCATTCTATCCTTTTATAAAGCATTCTTGTCATTAAAAAAAAAGTTAAGAGTATTAAGGGAAACAATGACTAAATATTCATATATGAGCATCATCGTGGGAGTTGGGCTTTCTTACCTCCTACCCCCGCTTTTTTAGGAGTGCCCTTTCATATACATAGGGCACACCTACACAAAATGCATCAATGTACATTATAGATGTGCGTCTATACGTGCACATACTTAATGCATGAAAATGGCAAAAATAGGCTAATCACAGCTAAATTTGATACTTGCAAATGCAGGTATTAAATTTAGGTGTGATTAGCTAAAGCCCATTAATGCACATCTAGATGCCACCTGGCACTAACTTTAGTGCTGGGTCTGCCCAGCCAGTAGGGGCACACGGCAGGGCTGCAAGGACTTGGCACTAACTTTATTGCCAACTCCCTGTAAGTGTAGACACCTGCCAAAAATTGCTTAAATGTATTAGCTTAATGAGCATTAAATTAAGGCCAGTTTAAATGCATGTGTAGATGCACCCAAAGTGACAGAAATATTCTCATTCAGACTTTGCACCCTGAGATTAAGTAGGATGACAGTCTTGATTTGTTAAGAGCTGTTGACATATAGCCATTGATATACTATGATTGCTTTACAAAATCAACAGCTACCAAAACTTCTATTTAATTTTCTAATTTATCTAGCTCCTTCAGCATGAAAGAGTTTACCATAATATCCCCTCTCCTGTGTCCCAATTCTTTTTTATCATCTTTCTCCACCTGTATTACACTTCAAGTAATCCTTCTCAGTACTTGTCACATGCACATTTAAACCTCTTTTAAAAATCAAGGGCTCAAACTTCTAGGGCAAGTGTTTCATTTTTGTTTCTATATATATGTTTTATTCATTGTTTAATAATTACTAATGATCTTGTGAATATACAAATCTGGAATTTATTCTTGTAGTTCTTCTATTCCTTAATTGCTGTACTTAGTCTCCCACAGTTTACACTTCCAGGACAATCACTGATTGAATTACATTCTTTGTTATTCAGCAGGGGTCAAATTATTAGTCTGAAAATAATAGGGTATAGTGCAACTTCTCTGAAGAACCTATAAAAGCGCTGTTCAGTTTTTATTTCCATCTTTTAGCACAGGCTCTAGTGGCAAATAACATCTTCTCAAGAAAGGAACAACTGAAAAAAACCCACTAGTTCTCTTTAAAACCATCTTGTTTTTTTTGTTTTTTTTAAAGAAGTTTGAATAACACATTGGATTGGTAGAAGAGTGGAACATACATCTTTATTTACTGAAACTTTGGCTTCTTGTACCTGTTGGGCATCCCTTTGTAGAAATATTCTGCTATACAATAGAATAATGTTTCAAAACCAAAAAAATCAATTATGAGCCTTATTTTTTTCTTTCTTAAAGTCTGGCAAATATACTGATAAATTTGGTCTGACATTTTTTATCTTGGTATGATTGCACATAGTATATTTCTAGGTGCCTAATTTAAAAAAGGATATCCAGATTAAGGAGAATGTACAGAAAGTTGTTAGGGGTACAATAGCAAGCTGCATTCTCTGATAATATTCACCAAAATTTCCCAGAAATTCAGCATATAAGCAAGGGTAGACTTTGACTCCATTAAATTGCAGAAGTCAGAAATGGGGTTTAGCATGTTACTTTGTGGGATTATTGAACCTAAATCCATAAACCCAACACATTGTTCTCCAAGTCCTTCCTCAAAACCTCTATCACCTTATTCAGTAATGCACACATGAGACTACAACCTGGTAATAGCTAAGCAGGTGGGGAACTATGACTGCTACCACTACTGGTTAACTGTCCCATAGATAGGATTGTATTTATTTGTTACCCCCATTCCTCCCATCCAAATTTGGCCCATTTGCTTGTTCTGTCAGAGTATCAGAAAGAATTTCCTCACTGCGAGGGTAGTTAAGCATTGGGATGGATTACCTATCTCTATTTTTGGAAGTTTTTAAAAGTAGGTAAGACAGACACTGGTTTAGATTGGTTTAGACAGGGAGTAGAGGGTTGAATAAGATGACCTCCTGAGGCCCCTTCTGTTCCCAGAGATCCCAGGGTCAAAAAAACAAGCACGGAAAAAAGTGGGGCGGCACACATGGCTGCAGTGTGCATCACCCAAAACCGGAGCCTGGCCCATCAGAGCCATGCTCTGGCTGCTGGCCAGGCTCTAAGCTGCAGGAGTACTGCAGCTGCAGTTTCCTCAGCCCCCAGGGCTCCAGGTAAGGCTGCTGGGGCCAGCACAGTAGCTGGCCCCAGCTTCCTCTACCCAACCTGGGGCAACCTGCTACATGCCAGAGGGTGCATGGCACAGGTGTCCCCTGGGGACAAGTAGCCGTGGCACAAGGTGTGCTGCTGTTTCTTGTCTCCAGGGTACCAAATGCTCTGGTTGCTGTGCAGTCATTTAGCACTTGTGTATGCAAATACAGTACTAAATGCGCAGTAACAACTGCACAGTCGCCATCTTATGTACATACAGCCTATGACACCCTGGTAGAGAATCACCACCCTGGCTGAAATGCTGCTGCTGCTATTGCAATTAGGTTCTTTTGGGGACAGTGGCAAACAGCTCGAGTGGCCTAATATCACTAATGAGATTCAATGTTTAGAGCAGAGTTGTAACCTGGGAATCAAGTATTGGTCTTTAGGAGCTTCTGTTGCGGGGAGGAGGAGGTTTTATTTTTTTCTTTCTTTTTTCATCCAAAAAGTTGGCATGTATGGTCTGACATTTGTATTTAACCAACACCTGGAACAATGGGGCCTCACTGCAATTTAAATATTTAATAAGTAAAATAACACAACATATGGATTAGTTTTTGGTTTTTTTTAAATGTGATTCCATACAAGAAACATTCTGTTTGGATGCCAGGGAGGAGAGGAGAGAGTGAAAAGTGCTCTTGGTGTGTGTCTTCCCTCTTCCTCCCAAATGCTGAAGAGGGGCTTACTTCGTTTAAAGGGCTTACATTGAAACAACTGGGACTGGATTGAAAATCGGAGGTGGGGGATGGGGACAACAACAAATTGACGTTATTGGTAGGGAAAAAGTGGGTTTGGTATGAAGAAGAGAGTGTCTTCTCCAAGATTATTACAGGCAGGTAAAATAGTCTGCCACACTGTATGTCAGATGATGGTGGAAGTCTTTGAAATAACACAGAAGGGGGAGACCAGAATTTAAAGCACATAAAATTTGTAATGTGCTGAGTAACAAATGGGGCATGGGATTCTTCATTTTTTATAGATTCATAGATGCTGGGGTCAGAAGGGACCTCAGCAGATCGAGTCCAATCCCCTACCTAGGCAGGAAAGAGTGGCAGGAAAGAGTACTGGGGTCAGGTGACCCCAGCCAGATGCCTATCCAGCCTTCTCTTAAAGACCCCCAAGGCAGGGGAGCGCACCACCTCCCTTGGAAGCCCATTCCTAATTTTGGCCACCCTTACTGTGAAGAAGTTTTTCCTGATATCTAGCCTAAATCTGCTTTCTGTCAGTTTGTGACCATTGTTCCTTGTTTACACGACCAGACTCATCTCTGGGAAGACCAAATCCAGCTGTGGAGTAACTGTTGAAATCAGTGGTGTTGTGCTAGGAATAGATGTGGCCTTATGCATTTTTAAATGAAAAAAAGTGAGTGCTTTACACAGGTGGCCATACATGGGAGCGGTGAAGTTTTAAGTGCAGTTACTTAGAAAAGAAGCTAGAGATGAAGGGAAATAGTCTCCAGCAAAGCAAAGGAGAGCACAGCTGGCAGAGAAAACGCAGAACCCTGGGCCTGGCAAGGGACATGGGGGAGGGGGCAAGACTTCTGTGACTGGAGGGTGGTGAAAGTTGGAAAGCAAAGGCGACCAGCTAAAGGGCTGAAACGACTCTGGCTCCATCCTCCCACACCTCCTTCCTCCTCTGCCACTAACCGGCCTCCGGCTCCAAGGGCAGTTAGCAGAAATCGGGCTGTGAACGCCTTCCTTTTGAATTAGCCGGCACTGCCGCGTCTGCCCCCGCCCGCCTTGCTCTTCCTCGGGTTTGTTACTTCCCACAGGAGCGCGGCGCAGCCAGCCTCCTCCCTGAAACAAGGGGCAACCACGACTCCTCGTAGAGGCGACCCCTTTTATAAAACCAAAGAGATTTTTGCAAAAAAAGAAAAAAAAAAGTCTTTAATTGCAAGCTTTTCGGGCACCAACCCCTGGGGGCGCGGCTCAGCAGGGGCGTTATTTATCATCACTCGCTAGTCCCGGGTCAGCCTTGTTTTGTTTGCAGATAAAGGGGGCGCGGGCTCTGCGGAGTCTCCTTGCCCCGCGGAGGAGCCCCGTAGCCCCTCCCCTGCTTGCGGAGCAGCCCGGCCCGGCCCGGGAGCAACCTTTGACTCCGCAGCCGGGAGGTGGTGCAAGCGCGAGGAGCAGCGTCCCGCAGCCGCGCTTCCCCTCCCCTCCCCTGGGTCCCGCTGCTGCGGGGCGGGGCGGGAGCGGCCGGGGGAGCCGCGCTGCGGAAGGGCTCGTGCTGGCGCCGCTGCCCGCGCCGGGCTGCTCCCAGGTAAGGCGGGCGCGGGGCAGGTGCCTCGGCCTCGGGCTGGGGCAAGAGGCGCTAGTTATTCGCCGTGTTTCTCCTCTCTTCTCAGCGAGGCGGCGGGTGCCACGGAGGAGCTCTGGTGACTCGCAAGTTGTGAAACAGGCTTTGCTTCTGGGGTGGCCAAGCGGTGTTTGCCCCGCCGGAGTAGCCCCCCTTGGAGATGACAAGCCGGGCAGCGGGGTGGGCACGCGGCTCGCGCCGGCCCCGCACCCGGCTCTACAGGCTGCACCGGGGCCAGTTTGAATGAGGGGGTGAAAAACCCACATCTCGCGGGGTTGCAAGCGTCTGCCTGAAAAGCCAACACCAGCAGCCTTGTATCCCCAGAGGGAAGGAGACTTTTTAAAAAAATCCACTGAAAATGAATCTGGAAGACGGGACTAGGTGCGTGAGGGGTGCGGTGGAAAGCCTGCCTGTGAGTGCTTCTCAACGGGGATCTCTGCCCGGTGCTGCCCGAGCGGGCTCCGTGCGGCGGCAGTGGCCTTGGGGAAGGGCGCAGGGGGCTTCATTTACGACCGCAGCTGGTTCAAGCCCTATGAACTGGGCAGCTCTGTCCTCATGCTGTGCCTGAGTGCTTCTCCCAGCTTCTCTGGTTGCTAGGGGGCTGGACTTCCTGCTTCAAATTAGCCCTTAAAGTTCACATGATTACTTGAGACCTTTCAATAAAACGGGAGACAAAGAGCTTGGGAGGCCAAGAGGAACAGATTTGCTGGCTGGCTTTTTACATCGGTTTCCTGGCTGGCTTTTATGGTAGATGTACATTTGCAATCCCCCCCACCCCAATTTGTGTGGTAGGGTCTCCTCTCCACATCCAGGCAGGGGCTGAGTCCTGACCCTCCTGGCCCTGGCAAAGGTTGGCCATACCCAAGGACGCCGCCCGGGCTCTCGGGATGAAGGCAATAGGCTGCGTAGGGGTGGGGGTCTCTGAACGCTTTTTAATGAGAATGAGCTGTTTACTTGCCATTGTTCAACTCTCATCCCTCCCAGCAGCCATGAATGCGGAGTGGAGCTAACCAGAGGGCTGGGAAAGCACAGCCCACCGAGTACTCATCTGGCTGTTTGGAGCAGCTGCCTCCCACATCCAGGGATTCAGCTCTGAAACGTCCCAGTCGTGGCTGCCCTCAGCCACTTTTCCAATTTCAGGCTTCGTACAACAATAGTACAGTACAGGCTAGTGTCCTATGTCGGTGTCGGTTTTTCTCTATCTAAAATACTGGCTTTTACCCTTATTAGCAAAAAGTGATCTGTGCATTTGACTGAGTTTGCCTGCTAGAGGAGCTAAAACACATTTGAGTGCCGTGCATTTATGACTTCAGTGGAACTGCATACATGAATGTGGGGACCAAAATATACACTAGGAAAAGCAGATACACCTGTCAAGGAATTTATAGCTCTGCAAGTTTCCCATCTCTTTGATGGGAATCTTTCCTCCTCATGTGCCTTGGACTTAAAGAACTTAAAACTATGATAAGGAAAACCAGATCACTTTCTTTCTGTAAAATAGTAGGTGTGGCTTCTTGTTTTTTAAGTTTTATATTTTCCTTGAAGTTAACTGTAAAATAAAGAGCAAGGCAAGCATTTCAGTCTTGGTATTACATTTCTTGTAACATCATGCTAAATATTGCTTTAGTGGTGGGATTCTGTTTGCTTAAAACGCACACTTATTATACCCAATTAATAACTCGTATAACATGGCTATTCTAAAGTGGCATTTGATTCTGGTATTTTTAAAAATTTAATTTCCTGTATTTGAGTCAGAGAAATAAATATAAAATTACGTGATATTGATCTTTTAAAGGATAACAGAACAGAACACCAGTATCTCCTTTGTTATTTAAAACTGAGCTGCCAACAACTTTCCCTCACCACATACAGCTTTTGTTTAGTTAAGTGTTCATTGTTTTGGGGTTTTTTTAATGCATGTGAACCAAACTTCCTTTTGTATGGAGAAATGTAGGAAACAAGTCATTAATTGCTGTCACTTTTTTTTTTTTTTTTTTTTTTTTTTTTTTTAAATGTAGGCAGTGCAATCTAGAGATCTCAGCTCACACAGTAGAAGTGAAGAAAAGGCAACAAAACTTTCAGCAAATGAAGGGCAGAAACATTGGTCAACTGTTGAAGATTGTATTGTGGATTTGAGCTATAATACCCTCTGTCCTCATGCCTACAGCCTTGAGAACATGACAACATTTCAGAATGGCTGCAGAAATGGAACCACTATTACCTGTATAGTTATGGAAAATAAAGAACCAAGAAGTATAACTAGCTCGTCCTGTCACAATGGGGAATGCATTACCAGCAACAATCATGAAGAGGAAATACAAGATGACAAAGTCAGCCCTTCAAAGCTCATGCGCTTTTTCTCTACCCCAAGGGAACAAACTAACTCAAATTCGGAAAGGCCTCGCTCTCTGATTGTGATGGGCAACTCCTCGACATGGAATGCTTTGTCTTCCCTTAGAAAAATGGGATCTTTCAAGAAATTAAAATCTTCAGTTCTTCAAGGAATTCAGGCTAGGGAAAACGTGGATCTCTTAAATGAAAACACTGTGGGAAAACATGTCTCAAATGGTGCAGTGGTGAGAGTTCATACTAACAGGTATTCTTATTCAGGGCCTTTGCATGATTTACAGAATTCAGTGGATGGTTTAGCTTCTGATTGTTCTGACATTGAGGAAAGCGATGATTCCTTCCTGAGGAATACTCATCGATCACGCAGCATCCGACGTGCTTATGGTGTTGGCCGTATAAATTTACTAGACACTGATAAAATTCAGTCTCACCAGAACTGCATCCAGCCAACCTCTCCTGTCATGCATGAACCAAAGATCTGTGAAATCTTCGTGAAAGATCCTGAAAACAACAGGATCATCTACAGGAGGAGTAAAAGTACAGATAACTTAAACTTTTTGAAAAAAAGTTCATTCAAACGGAAGTCCACCACAAACCTTACTGACCTCAAGGTGGCAAGTGACAAACAGATGCCACAACGGACAGTAAGCATGTCTTCGGCTGACTCGGACAAAGTCAATGGAAACCCAGAGAGAAGGTCCAAACGCTGGAAGAGCCCTATCAGGGCGAAAGATTTTGACAGAGTTTTGAAACTTGTAAGCAATGTTACTGAAGTGGCATGGAAAAAAGATGGTCCTAAGAGCACAACTCCTCCTCCTTCCAGTGAACAAACCCAGAGGACAAGGCCAAACAGCAGACTACATGATGACTATTCCCGCAGAGTTTCAAGAAGCACTGAGAATGACAGAAGGAGGTATATATCACCCATGTCCAGTCCTGAATCTACCTTTTCTGGACCTCCTTATTTCCACAGCCCAACTGTTTCTCAGGATACAGACACTGAAACAAGTGATCTTACTGTTGAAGCCAAAAGCCTTGGGACCTCCTTGGGTGTCCTTGAGGCTGTTAGTTCATCACCTACTTTAAATGACCATAGTCCACTTCCTAACGAAGTGTTTTATGTGGACCCTGAACCAAAAAATACCAGCCAGTTTACATTTGAATCCGAGCAGCTTAGTGCCCCTGTTAGGCCTACTGCTCCTAAACCTCAGAGCCCTAGTACTGAGAAGGTCAAGTGCAATAGTAACTTCCATTGTCCAAATCATCACAGCACATTATCACTGAGCTCAATGGAAAGTGAGGAAAGATCTGAGATGCCTGCACCCAAGTTGGGGAGAAATCCTGTTTGCTTCCAGGACTCAGTACAGACTATGTATTATGATGATGGAAATGAAGACAGTGGCATCAGCAGCCACTCTCAGCTGAGCCTCAATTTAGCTTCTGGCACGGAAGAAAAAAAGGAAGAGGTAAGAACACTACATGTAAGATGTTAATGTTACAGGGTTTATATATATAAAAAAATAAATAAATGCAGAAGATGACAACCTGAATATCGTCAGCTGTTGCAGCTTGTAAGTGCTAAATTATGCTGACAGCCAGCTAGCAAACTTTGTTATATATTCTGTGTGGAAGTTAACATTAGAATGTATTCCCTTTGTGCATTATGTCAAAGGAGATGTTGGCAGCCAGGCTGTTTAGGTACATTTTTCAAGGGTGGTTTATGGCTTCAAGTTATTCCACCATGCCGTGTGGCTGCTAGGTTTTACCAAGCAAAGCAGAGTTCAGGTGGACCAGTTCTAGGCTGAGAGATCTTTGAAGAACACTTTGGTGCTCACTGAAGTGGTGGTGATTCACAGCACACTTTCTTGGGAGTGTCTCCAGAAAATGGTAATGTTTTTGAAGCTGTCGGGGGTGAACAGCACCAACTACATTAAATATTCTATCATTGTTTTACTGTGCATTAATGGCACTGTGTGTTGGTAAATGTAAATATTTAGCTGTGTATTTCAAAAACAATCAATTATTTTACTGGTGGGTGTCTATTAATGTTTTAAAGTCTGGGTGGTGACTTAAGAAATATAATGTTGGAAAGCATAATAAGTTTTCATCATGCCTAATTTACACTTTCAGTACTGTTAGTGGATGTGGGTAATTACATTGCTGCATCTTTGAAGTGCATCAGTGGAGCAAAAGTAAGGTCTTGTTTAGGGAGGGAGGGAGGGAGGGTGGGGAAGGGCTGCAGCACTGGAGTTACACTAATATGACTGTATCTGTGCACAGCTTTAAACCATGGTTTACACCAGCACTTGCAGTCCTCCCCATTGCAAGTTACAGTTCAGACTGCAGCACACTTATGCGCAGAGTTTGGAATTATAACTGCATCCATTCACAACCCCCCCATCTTCAAAAAACAAACAAACAAATCAAGCAGATCTCCCAAGAGCAAGACTTAGACTTTAAGGGTGCCTATACTTGTGTGCTGATGCATTCTGATTAAAATGTGTCAGAGCAGCTTCGATTTAAATAGAACGCTCCAGCATACTGAGGTATCTCATGTACTCAGAGTCCTGCGTTCCAGAATGGCCACGGGGCACGTTAGCTAAAGTTCATCAACAAGCTTTAGTTAAAGTGCCTCCCTGGCCATTTTGAAACGTGGGCTGCTGAATACATGAAATGCTGCAGCATTTTATTTGGATTAGCTCCCATTATAATGACTGAGGCACTGGTGGGCTTCCACAGTGCTTTAAAATTGTAAATATATCAACAAAACACTGATCAATTAATACCTATGTGTGTGTATATATTTGTGTGTATGTGTATACTCTGATCAAATATATATATTAATTGATCAGAGTATATTTACAATTTTAGTGATATGGAAATCTAACTGATTGTGTGTATGTGTGTGTACATGTGGAAAAGCACAGTTTTGGGGGGTTTTATCAGAGAATTTGGGATTTTTAAACAGGGAAAACCAGGATCCCTCTTGATCAGACATCTTTGTGGGGCCAAAACCATGTAGCTTCATTCTATAGTTATCACACCCAGAGAGTATGTAAGGTGATGCTTTTAAACAGCTTGTGTATGCATGGGAAAATAGTTGTATATGCATACATGTCAGTTTACTGCCTGGGAAACAAAGTATGGAATAGTTTTGGTGGCTGAACTAATGTAGCAGATCTGCCATCTAGTGGTGAACAAAGATCATGACATGGTAGAGCTGAAATAATTCCCTTCTGCTGCACAGACTCGATTTAAAATGCATATGTTCATTGGAAAGATACAGGTTGCTACTGCTCTAGTTTTAATATTGCAATCCATCCTTTTTGTAGCAATATAAAAATAACATCTGCCAAGACCCTTAAACTGTGAGGCAGTTCTGGCCTTCTCTTTGAGAGGACTGGCTATAGTTAGTTGTCTAAAGGTCAAATACTCTAGTCTTAGTTTCTTCTATCCAGGCAACTAGTAGGGATTGCACCACTGAAAAATGAACTCCTTGAAATTGTTAATCTATGGTCATAGACAGACCAGCTACCCAGAGTGCTCCAGATGCCTTTGAAGTGTTCCAAACAGTGAGGGTGCCGATGTTCCCACCAAAGCAGCACTTCAGAAATGATCTTTGAGAAAAAAAGAACACTTTGAAGCACTTCCTTAAATGTCTGCACCTTCCAGCGGTGCTCTGTACCCCACAGTGCTCTGCTTTCCCGTGGCTGGGGGGGCGAGGGGATAGAGTGTGCCAGACAGCCAGGGAGTGCTTTCCAGTGTGCTGGGAGCCTCCAGGGGCTGAGGGGCTCAAGGAAATGCCTTTACAGACCTTTTGAAGTTCTGGGCAGGGTGGTGGGGGTGGAGGGTGGTGGAATGCAGTTCTGTATAGGGCTCAAATGCTTAGTATCTGAAATGCTCCATGCTTTGGGACCTATCTGTCTCTGTCCTCAGTCTGACCAGAGTAGGGGACTGAGGGGTAGTCTGTATTACGGAGGCTTTACTGGTATAGTTAGTTCCCTAGTTGAGCTGCATCTCATACTAGAAAAATAAATTCCTTTTGCTGGCTCTAGCTACATCACTACCTCCCTGAATTATATCAGCTGTATCAGATTCTTTGGCCAGTATAAGCAGTGTCTGCAAAGGGGCCAGCATAATATATCAATATTGATTAGAAGTGTGACTTCCCCTCTCCCTGCCACCCCCGCTCCCCAGCACATGCACATACTCTAGCTAGGCTGACTAGACTTAGCTGGGTAGGGCTGGCCTATGCTACAATCTGTACTAAATTCAATTAAATTGGTACCACACCCATGTGTGGACAGTTTAATCATCCTAACAGTTTTAATTTAATTTCTGTCAGTTCCTTACTAAGTATACAGCACTCTGAAACTAATTAAAGAGTATGCAAACAAAGAATGCATAATTTAGTTTAGTTGGTTTTCTCCAATTTTTTGGGGCGTACAATTATTTTTGTATAGACAAGGGGCTTATATTTCCATCAGGTACCACATCTTTTTACTCTCTCAGGCACCAGATGCCAATCTCTGCATGATGTCTTTCTGTAGCATTTGTATTAGACACTTCCTTTTTAACTGGTGTCAGTGGATGATCAAACATGATGTGTTGGGAGTAGTTCCCATGCTCTTTGCCTCCTGAAAGAAGTGAGCCATAAAATAAACATGCATTATTGTAAAGAGTGACAAAAATGTAGTACCTTTTACTGGTTTGATTGTGGTCTTGCATGTACCCTTAAGGTTACTAAAATGAGTTGTTTTTCTGAATTTGGCCCATTTGTACATGTATACATGTCAGAAGAAATTAAATTCTTCAGTGCATTGGTTCTATCTATGAAAGAACTACAAGACACTTAAGCAGCCTGGGTGATAACTATGCACCAAATTTTACTATTTATTTAAGCACAGGACCCTAACTGCATGATAGCAAGGGAATTGTGACTCTACATTGCATCAGGAAGACAGTTCTGCTGTACCTGTGATTGAAAGCGACTTAGTTTTAAAGGCTGACTATACTAAGTGCTCTGAAATTCATGTGTTAACAGTGCTGATTGTCTCTAAATTTGATATGCCTCATATGGATGTGGAGTAGGATAAGTGGTTCAAATTTTGGGGTCATTTAGCAAGGAATTCCCAAGACACAGCCCCTCGCCCTCCCCTGCATTGTTCACAGATGTGGTATGTGGATCATCTGATGTTTTGTTGCACATTCCTGGGGCTCATGGCTCTCAGTCCTTCCCATTTTGATCTCTGTCACTCAGGATTGAACTGAGTTAGTGCCTAGCCCTTTCCCCATCTTGAGGATGGGGAAAATAACTGAAAAAAGTTATTAAGGATAACATTTGTAACACTAGATTAATGTGAACTTGCCCGAGAAGCAGGGCAAAATGGCCTTTTGAGTTTTTTGTGCTGCTTTGGTTAGCCTGCAGTCAGTTTCTAAGCTAGCTTAGATATCTCTGCTCAATACTGTTGGTTCGGTTCTGTCACTGTGGTGTAGACATATCTTAAGAAAGCAAATTGTTTCAGGTGTACCTGGCTTGGTTCTGTTAATGCAGCTGGAGGCTTTGCAAATTCTCTGTCCTGGTAACTGTGGGGGACAGTGGCTTAAGGTGACGTAGTCTGGTCATTGAACCTGGGCTGCCCTCATGTACTCCCCGTGACAACTTTGGGTGACTTTACATGTGTGTTGTTGGGATGAGGGGGTGATTTAATTAGAGCGGCTCTCAGGAGCCACTCTAATTAAAGTGCCCGCAGCATCTTGTGTATCCAACATCCAGTGCTTCAAAACATTCAGTGAGTTTTAGTTAAAGCGCCCCATGGCCATTTTGAAGCACAGGGATGTTAAATACATGTGACGGCCTGGCTGCTCCAATGTGTGCTAATTAACATGCGCCAAAGCAAACGTGTGTAGGTGCCCTTTAAGTCCATGTTAGTTGGACTCTACAGTAGTTCCATTTTTTTGGAAGTTTTTGCATTGAGACTAAAACACTTTGGTTTATATCCTACAAACAGACCTGATTATTTTTTAAGCATTTTCAAGGGAACCGGCACTTAATTAAATCAACGAATTACTCTAGTAAGCAATTAGGGCAATTATGACTAGAGGTGCACCGATAATTCGGTCTGGTGTCAGATCAGCACCGATATAAAAAAAATTAATCGTATTGGAAATTGACCTGATGTGGCCGATTAATTTCTCTGATAAATGCCTGTATGCGCGCACAGCCACAGTGCAGCACACAGGCAGTGAGGAGCACAGCCCAGCAGCTTGGAGAGCTGCTTGCAACTGGTAAGTCTGGTGTAGTGGAAGGGGACGGGGCAAGGAAGGGGCATGAGGGGGGCAGATCAAGGCTTCCACAGTGAGGGAGGAGTGGGGCTGAGGCAAGTGCTGCCCAGGTGGGGCAGGGTGGGCGTGGAACAGAGCCATATCTTGTCCATGAGGGGGAGCATCTCCTGCTGCTGTGTGC